AAGAAAAACTGCGGGAGCGGGCGATGAAGCGTGAGTCACGTCGCCGACGGAATGAGAAGCGCGGTGTCACGTATGACCGCTCAAAGAGCGGCAGGGGAATGAATGAAAACGACTATTACGCCGTTTTGGGTGTCGAACGGGACGCCACACCGCGAGAAATCAAAGAGGCATACAATCGCCTTGTGTTGGAGGTGCATCCGGATAAAAACCCGAGTAAATCCGCGGCTTCTCACTTTGACGCGGTTACAAAGGCATATCGTGTGCTAGGTAACGCGGAGAGGCGGCGAAAATATGACATTGGAGGCACGAGTGTTGTGGAGGACCTTGGGGAAAAGAAAAGAGACGCTGTTCGGGCGCTCTTTGGCGGTGACGCCCTACACGCCATCGTGGGCGATGTGAAGACAGGCAACTTCTCCCAGCGTGTCGTGGATGGCCTTGACTGGACGCAGGAAGAGCTGGCTGTGTGCCGGCAGCGCATGCTCGAGCGTTGTCGTGATGAGCTTCTCACATCATACATAGAGCCTCTTCAGAAGAGCAGGGAGAACAGCGGCAGTAGTAATAACAATGGGGCCGGTCTCACGGAAGTAAAGAAGCGTTTGCAACGGCTTCTCAACACAGGCCTTGCCAAGGAGGTGTTGGCTGCGGTGGGACAAGAGTACATGCGTGTCGTCCGGTATAGTGAGGCAATGAATTCGTTACAGAGACTTGAATTATTTCTGAAGGTCATCGCCCCACATCGTGCCCGGCGAAAATTGGACAAGTGGCGTTCTTTGGGCCGCATTCGACAGCATACATTTAAAGACTCTGCAGCCATGGTGGATCTGGCGTGGTACACATCCGTTGAGGAACTTGAATCCACGGCGTGGTGGATAGCAACGGCTACTCTTCTTGACCCACAGCTGCCGGTTGAGGAGCGTGAACGTCGTCGTGACGCACTGCGAGTAATTGCCGAGACATTTATCGTGTATGGACAAGCGTACAAGGGTGCCAACAGACAAACGATGGATACATTGATGAATTCCCTACGGGACTACAATCAACAGCAGCAACAGCGAAAGCGAGATGGCCAATGAATGCAGGAGAGCAAAATAAAATAATTAAAAAAAGAGAGATGGTGTATTTTTACATGTGTAGGGAAGGACGTTGAGATGTCTGGAGGAATTGGCGATGCCGTGGGAATGAAAATAATAAAAAAACAAAGAGAGAAAAAGAGAAGCGGTTCAAATGGAATGCCCCCCGCTTACCTCTATGATTATTAATATTATTATGTTTGATTGGTTTTCTTTTGTCTTTGATTATTATTCCTCCCGTTGTGAGTGCCACATGTGGTTGATTTATTTTCTTTTATTTATTTATTTTATAATGGAGCACATGAGATTTTGACGGCGGCAGCGATCGACGGGCCATTTAATGCTGTGTGACAAACAGAGGAGGAGGAGGAGGGGATGAGCGGGAAAAAGAGAGTTGACAGGGAGGAGGCAAATGATGTGAGACTATCCATGTGGTGCATGGTCTTGCACCCTGCGTGTATGTACGTATAATTCTCTTTCTTCCTCCCCTACCATTACCCTTTTGTTGTTTCCTGTTCTTTTTTTTGTGTGTGTGCTTTCATCTCCACCCCTCCTCCCCCATCATCATGTGCGCACATGTCGGGTACCACTGATACGACACATACCGTGAGAGTGAGAGGGAAAGGAGAAGGAGTAAAAAAGAGGAAACAAAACATTCAAACAAACACACACAGAGGGAGAGAGAGAAAAAAAAAGAGAGAGAGAGAGAGAGAGAAACGAATCATGGATCACATATCAGCCTCGACAACCATTACAACAGAGGCGATCAAAAAAATATGCGTACAGTTGGGTTACTACCGTAACCCCATATGTAATGAGAAGCTCTATCTTCATCATAAAGGATTTGATAGTATAGAAGAGGACGCGTTTGATCCTTACACGGACGTCAAGGTGTTATGGTTAGAGGGCAATGCATTGACTCATATCTCATGTGGTAGAGACAGTATGCCACGTCGGAAAATAAAACCGCAATCGGAAGTTAGTGTAGAAGAACTGGCACCGATGTTAACTGCCAATGCCGGCTTCTCTAAGAGTGCTCAACTGGAAAGTTGTAAAGCCAAACATGTGGACTGTTGTGGAGATTGGGCATCACCACCACCACAAGTCAGCGTTCTTGCAGATGAAGAGCAAGTCAACGTTACCGCACATGCCAATAAGCCTTTCAGTGCCGCTGCTCATGATGAAGCTACTGCTGATGCAGCTGCTAATGATGGTGGTGATGATCGTCACACCATTGCGTCTCCTATTATTGCAGCTGATGGAGCGGGAGGCAATCCGGTGACGCCTGTCCCACCAACCGCCACTAACATTGAAGAGAGCAAAGATGTATTTCAATCACTTTATCCCACACTTCGACAGTTATTCTTACACAACAATGCCCTGCGGGAGATGCCAGATCTCAGCGGATTCCAACGATTAGATACCGTTAACCTTTCAAACAACTGCATCCACTCTGTGCGAGCAAACTGTGCAACCTTCTGTGCAAGGGTGGCACACTTTGAGACGGCGCTACGGGAAAAGGCGCAAGCCCTCATGGCGAACTCAAAGAGTATGCAGAATGAGGTTTGTGCGCGTGATGCCCGATGGAAGCGGACGATGCAAAGGAACCATCGACCTAGTTGTGCTGCTGAAGAGAATAATAATACCAATGATAATAAAATTAATGAAAGCAACGCGGGGCCAGATTCCACACTGCCAGCGTCACCTTTAGAGGAGACGTCAACGACAACCATTGTGCAAGGGGTGGATAACGTGGAGGGGAGGGCTGTAGTGGTGGAAAGGGAAGGCGATGCACCGCATTTTGACTTGGAAATGTGGCGGCAGCGGCTCAGTGCCTACGCTGACTTTTGCCCGCATGAGCCTTTGGAAATTGCGGAAAACGGCAAACTTTCCGATGACGTGCCATCCATGTGTCGCAACCCCTGCAGCTCCATCCGCAGCCTCAACCTCTCCGCCAACTACCTCGCCGACGCAGCCGACATTGTGCAGCTTCTGTGCTTCAAGAACCTCACCGTGCTAGACCTCAGCAACAATCAACTGAGCAACGGGGAGGCGGTGCTGCTTATCATGGAGCGGCTGCCACGGCTGCGGTCGCTGAAGTTGTCGGGCAACCCACTCGTGCGGTCTCTGCCACGGTACCGCAAGATGGTGCTGGCGCGCTGCCCGGGTTTGCTGCATTTAGACGATCGCCCCGTGTTTGCAGATGAGCGGCGACTTGTTATGGCGTGGGCCCGCGGCGGCGACGAGGCGGAGAACAAGGAACGACTGCTTATGAAGGAAGAGACGGATAAACAACACATCCGACGTCTTGAGGAGTTTCGTGCACTGGTCAACCGTTCCCGCTACCCTGACGACAGTAACAACAACAATAATAATAATACCCATGCCACGAATGATACCAACGCGGCGAGTAGGACCACCTCCACAATAACTGTGGGAACGTCAACGAGAAGGGAGGAGCGGCGCAATCAGGGAGGAACTTACTCCCCTGCGAACCTCAGCGATGATGTTGATGATGATGATGATGTGACGAGCACGGAGACGGAGGAGGAAGAGCCCCACGAAGATGTTCACATTAACAACCGTATATTCCACCACACGGGAGAAACCACAATTTCACAGGATGCCATAATTCCCGAATCGCAGCGTGCACACATTGAAAGAGCGCCATGGAACGAATTCGATAGGACGAGAGCGCTGAGCTCCAACATACAGCCCCAAAGTAGAAGCCAACAGCGGCCTCCTCAGTATGTTGCGGAAGAGGATGAAGAAGACGGCGACGTTTACATCCCAAGAACCGCATCTTAGTGAAGGCAGTCTTATTGACAAAAGAAAAAAAAACGCCTTTTATTTACATCATGTATTTTCTACTTTTAAAGGTACTATTATGTTTGTTTTGCCTCAAAAAGCAGTTTTATAAATATATATATATTTCCTTTCCTTATTTTCGTTTTGAGCTTTATATTTGTTTTTTTTTTTTTTTCGTGCTGTATGTGAGTTTGTATATATTTGTTTTATTTGATTAATTTTTATTGCCGTTTGTCTTACTTTTTTGTTGTTGTTGTTGTTGTTTTTGGCTGTTCAGCCACTCTTTGGCTAAAAAACGATTGTTTTTCATTTTGACCCGTCAAATTTTTTTTTTTTTGTGTGTGTGTGGACTGTTTGGGGACCGTACTTCTCTTTTTGATGTATGACGTAATGGCACGTGATAAGTAAAAAAAAAAAAAAAAAGAGGCAAACGGCAGGGGAGACGGGGGGGTAAGAGAGGGAGAGTTCCTGTGGACTTTTCCCACCCGGTTTTGCGCATGTGCTGACTGCTGTCAAGCACAAACGCACATAACAAAAGGGCATATATTTTATTTACACAGAGAGAAGAGAAGAAAAAAGGAAAAAGTCATGGCACTTGCAGGCCGTTATGTGTGTTTTTCTGGCTTTTGTGACGATGAAGAGAACGAAGACGACAATGATGATAACTCCGCAAGGACAACAAAAGAAGGGAAGGAAGGAGGGGCAAAGGCATGGTCGTTGCAGGCAATGCGAATGCTTTGTGAATCGTTGGGTGCCGTGGTACAGGCAGACATTACGAGGCGCACCTCTGTTCTTGTTGCAAGGCAAGGTCTTACGCGGAAGCGTTTGGTGGCGGAGCAGCATGGCATCCCCGTGGTATCGCCACGATGGCTTGAGTCTCATGGACGCCTTTCCTTTGCAGATGCAAAGGTTCCGTCCCTCTTTGGTTATACGTTCTGCTCAACACAAATGACGGCGGAAGAGGAGAAGGCGCTTAGCACCATCATTGAACAAAACGGAGGGGTCTTTGATCGTACACTCACGGCTTGTACGTCAATGCTTTTTGTTCCGCCTGGTTGGATGAAGCGATGGCGGCAACAACAGCAGCAACGTATGCGCGGACGTCCTTCGACAGGGCCGCATGGAGATGGGCCGCCGCCTGTCCTTCCAGAGAAGATTCGTTTTGCGTGGGCTACAGAAATTCCTGTTGTGGAGTATCCCCGCTTTCTGGCCATGGCGGCGTTGAGTAGCAGCAATGGGGTGAACATGAAGTGCGACAGTGTCGCGGCCCGGGCGGACTTTGATACCATTGCACGGCTCTGTGCGCTGCCCATTTCCGTCGCAGGTGGACTTGTCCTTCACACGCAGCGGAATGACGGTAGTACGGAGGGTGGTGCGGCCAAAGCAGTCGAGGAGGCTGAGGAGGATCTCGTGAAGGGGCAAAGTGATTTCAGCCATTTGGAAAAGCGACCCCGTGAAATAGGTGAGATGAATGCTCCATACGATGGCGATGGTGGTCCGCGAAGCAAGAGGGTGCGGATAATACAAGGGAACGATGAATCCACGATTCAGGTGCCGGATGCTCTGCAGAATGATGGCCATCACGGGGAACGAAAGACTATTGAAAATGAGGAGAAGTCCATCCAAACGAAGCACGAAGAGAAGGTTTTGGGCCCATCTTGTGTGCGGAAGGATGAACCGTTAGGTTTGATATCAGGTGACGCAGCGGTCCCTGTACCACCATCATGCCCCCGTCGTTGCACCGTGCGAAGCTCATCCGTAGAGGCATCCAGGAGTGATGATGCTTTCTTCAGTAACACTATCTTCACTTCCGGTCATCCGTTCGTACAGGTTACATTGCTGGGATGCACAACACGAGAGTCGGTAGACTGTGTACACATGATTCTACATTGTCGCTTTATGCGTACTCCTGTTGTCACGCCCTGGACCGACGTTGTGGTGGTGGGAAGCGCGTTTATTCAGGAGTATTTAGGGGACGTTAGTGCAGTGGATGAGAAGAAAGGACCGCCACGGCCTTTACTCCAGCATCTTCATCACGAACGGGGTCAGTTGCTGGCCCGGTTACGGGATCACTTGGCTCTCAATTACGGTATACCCATTGAACGCGTTGTGGGTGTGGAATGGCTTCACTCTTGTTATCAGCGCATGATGTTTCAACACACACCGGGCGCCATGGAGAATTCGCATATTCCCTTTTTTCCTGCATCGCTTCCTTTGCGTGAAATGCCGCCTACAGAGAAGTACCACCTGCGGATTCCCTCTACGGTCTCAAACTTTGAGGCACCACCGCCACCGCCAGATGGGCAGCAGGGAAACGAGCCGGTAGCGCCTCCTTCATCTCGGCTGAGGAAAAGGAAGGCGCTGCACGCTTTGCAAGAACAGAGTCGAAGTGCCTACAATCCAACATCCAATGCGAAGGACGTGCCAGAAGCCGTGAATACCGTGCAGCAACAATACGAAGCTGAAATTCGTCTTGCAGATCATCGAGTGAAAAATCTTTTGGCTCTTCTAGACAATGCAGCGGAAACTATCGACGGGGGTTTGACTCCGCTCTTCTCTTCTTTGTTTTGTTTTGTGGAAAAGGAATTCTCTCGCATCGACTTGGCTGTTGTGCGTGCACTCATCAAGCACGGCAAAGGAGCGTGGCTGAAGAAGAGTAAGGACGATTGGGTTAGACTACTAACTCAAATCGGCACCAATGCGGCATCTGACGAGAATCAATTGGTAGAAACTGAGCTTATAGGGTTTGTACGGCGGTACAGCGTCCTACGCAAGCGACTTTATCTTATGCAAACTGAAGATGGTGAAGCCGAGGAGGCGCCATTGCGGGTGTCTACGGCTATGGATGGAAACCACGGTCGCAAACAATCTTCTTCGGATGTAACTACGCATCACCCCACCTTTGCGCTGTACGTTGTGCCACACGGAGACCAACGCCCCGCTGAGTGCCTTCTTAAAAGTGAAATTCGACGAGGAACGATGCCGCAGCGACATCCACTGCGTTACCTCCCCGCTGTGACTCAGGATTACATCTTGTGTTGCTTGGCAGCTGGGCATATGCTACATCCAGGGAGTTGTTTTCTTTTCAGTAGCCCGTTGCCCACTGAGGCGGAGCGACTCGCACGACGGCGACGGCGCAGTGAATCAGGGAAGCCTTTAAGCGTTTCTCCGTGGCTTGGACCACGTCGGCACGAGAAGGCACCACTTACCGGTATTTCCATTTTTTTTCTTTGTGCCATGAAGGACGAGGTGAGCGCGGCTGCTACCGCACTGCGGCGTGTAATGGTAAGTTGCCTTACGGCAGCAGTCTGCGAGTTGGGCGGTCACAGCACGGTGGTGTTGCTGCCAGAAACAGTTACCCACGTTGTGGTTATCGACATTGCGTCCGTGTTGGAATCTGAGCTTCTACCTGAAGCCACTGTATATGGCTATTCCCCATGGTTCAAGACAGAGGAAACCGAAGAACGGGAAAGAGAGGAATTACTTTTGCGCGGCTCCGAGTGGCCTCATGCACTGCAGGATCAGTTACCAGAGGATCTTGTGGAACACGTTGTCAAGGGGCGGGTCTCATTGGTTGGCGTGGAGTGGTTGCACGCCAGTTTGGCATGGGGTGTCTTCCTCGACGAGGCGTCATTCACCCTGACGGTGGCGCAACAACAGCAACAACAACAACAAATGTCACAACAGCAGCGGTACGAAGGAAGAAGTGTGGTGGCAGGCTCTGCCGCAACACCTCCTCTGTCGCCGAGTCGACGCGCCGCCTCCGCCGACATAACATTGCTTCCATTTGAAAGCTCTACAAGGACCAACACAATTACAGGCATGGCGTTATCGCCACAGGCAGGCGCCGGTTACCAATTTGATTTTTCAACGCCTACTGCCACGCCAATACGTCTGCGTCCGCAGAAGGATCTGCTGAATGAATCCAGCGCCAGTGTACCAAGGCAGAGTTGTCCACGATCGACATTGCGGACACCTCGACGACAACGCGTCAGTGTGCCCCGCACAATTTCACCCGCCGTCGTGTTGGTGGGCGAATCAATGCACACGGAGGAGCGAGACCCTTCCGAGGAAGCCGATACGGAAGAAAGGTGCGTTGCAGCAACTCCACCGCAAAAATTGGAGTTTCCGACAGTTGAAAAGCATGCTTGCACCCCGATCCGTGGAACAGCCATACTTGGGACTGAGGATGATGTGACCAGTAATGGTAGCAATGATGATGTTGTTGCAGTTGCAGGTTCCCGGATGCGGCCTGGATATCTTCATGGTGAAGGCAAAAACGTTCCATTGGCGGTGGCAATGCCGCAACAATGGGACCCCGAGGCAAGCAGCAACAGTTGCGCCGGCCCACACCATTCGACCACGCCACCACCTGTGTTGGTACCTAACGATTTAGGTGACTCCTTATCATCGCGGTTTTCACATGCTAGTGCCGCATTACGGGTTCATATTGTCCATGACATGCCGGACAGAGAACGGCTCATAGCATCCTGCGTAAGACTCAGTGAAGCTGCGGTCAATGGTAGCACGTTCTTTAACAGCGAGGGAAGCAACAGCAGTCCAAATGGCGTGTGTGACGTTCCTGGGAATTTCCGGCAGCAACACCTTCCACGTCAGAAGAACACGGCAGCTGTTTTCACTCATTTGCAACTTGTCGGGCCTTCTGTTAGAGATGCGGATGTCCTTGTGACACACCAACTTACGCAGCGAGAAAGCGTTCTTGCGGCCATTGCTGCTGGACTGTGGGTGGTGACACCGAAGGCGTTGCAGGACTGTGAGTCGCGTCAATGTTTTCTTCCACTACGTGACTTATCCGTGTACGAGTGGTGCCCGGAGCTTTTAGCGCCTGGGTCGCCCCGTAGCAGTCTCCAGCTCGCACAGCAGTGTAAGAGCCGTCGTCAGCAGCGACAAGCGACTGGAACTCGTCTTTTTGATGGCAACTGGTTTGTTCTTGTTTTTCCAAACACTGCGGTTGGTCTAGCGCGGGCGCGTTCAATGCGAACCGTCCTGGAAGCAGGCGGCGGTGTGGTGACGTGGGCAACTTGCTTCTTGGCCGATCAGGAAGCAGAACCAGCCGGTATCGTAGGTGACAAATTATCGTCCCAAGAAGACGCCAAAATGCCACTCACTCGCCGCTCCGTCACGCCGATGGCAGAACCCACATCCGTATCGTCTCCCGCGGCACTACTTGAATTTGTTTTGTCGCGGATCCGAGGCCAAGAGGAGGAATTCAGCAATGGCGAGTTTGATAAGCACGATGACATGACAAAGCCCCACCCAAAGCCTGCGAAGGAGCTTATTCTCCTGCTTGATGGCTTCTTGCAGAAAAATACGGCGAGGAGTTGGTTGCGGGAAATTGTGGAGGTATTTAGTCACGCGCAGGCATCCTTTACGGAGGCGAAGAAAAAGGCTTTTGCAAGGAGACAACGCAAGCAGGGTGAAAATCGGACGCAATGTCCAGCGTGGGAATCCACAAGAGCAGGGAATGAGGTGAAAGGGAGTGATGTACGGGGAAACGGTTTGACGATGTGGCCAGTCACTAGGTCTCTTCCTCGCCCTGCACTTTTTCCAGTGTTAGGACCTCCCCTGCGAGTGGACACGAGGGACAGTGAAAATAACGTTGAATGTGGCATGCCGTTTGTAGAAGTGGTTCGTGTCTTTTCTTCAGATTGGGTAACTCTGGTGATTCAGAAACGGCGGAAGGCACCCCTGTGTGTTGTGGAGGTTCCTTCTTAAAAGTCGCATGCCTCTCCAAGACTACTTTTTGATGATGGCAGTGTATGTGTGTGTGTGTGTCCTTGGCCACTTTATTGTCTGTGGTTGGGTGTTTTTTAAATATGTTTTACCATGTTTTTATCTTGTGTTTTTTTTTCTTTTCTTTCTAATCGCCGGTGTCATTGCCATTGCCATCATCGCCTTCTTTTATTCCTTGCAGAAGGGAAACATTACGCAGCTTGAGGCACGACCCTAAAGGTTGCAGTTTGGGTGGAGTGCACACGAACAAAAACACACGTAAATACACACTAAGAATATAAGGGGAAAGACAGATCGGATGTCCACTGCTATTGGAATCGATCTCGGCACAACTTACTCGTGCGTTGGTGTCTTTAAGAACGACCAGGTTGAGATCATTGCGAACGATCAGGGCAACCGCACAACGCCGTCGTACGTGGCGTTCACAGAGACGGAGCGTCTTGTCGGCGATGCCGCGAAGAACCAGGTTGCGATGAACCCGACAAACACCGTCTTCGACGCGAAGCGCATGATTGGCCGTAAGTTTGATGATCCTGATCTGCAGTCGGACATGAAGCACTGGCCCTTCAAGGTGACCGTGAAGGAGGGCAAGCCGGTGGTTCGGGTGGATTACCAGGGCGAGACAAAGACATTCTTCCCTGAGGAAATTAGCGCCATGGTGCTGTCAAAGATGAAGGAGATTGCGGAGTCGTACCTGGGCGAGAAAGTTTCTCGGGCAGTCATCACGGTGCCCGCGTACTTCAACGACTCCCAGCGGCAGGCGACGAAGGATGCCGGCACGATCGCGGGGATGGAGGTGCTGCGCATTATCAATGAGCCGACAGCTGCCGCCATTGCGTACGGCATGGACAAGAAGGCGGACAAGGGGGAAAAGGTGGTTCTCATCTTTGATCTTGGCGGCGGCACGTTTGATGTCACGCTGCTGACGATCGACGGTGGCATCTTTGAGGTGAAGGCGACGGCAGGTG